ACAACCATCCTCCTTGCTTCTATGTGGCAAGGTATTTCTCACACTTCAGCGTGCATCCAGCACCTGGAGAGCTTGTCAATATGCAGATTGCTTGGTCCCACCCCCAGAGTTTCTGATTCAGTAGGTCTGGGGTGGGGCCCAAGAATTTGCATGTATAAGCAAGTGACATAAAACTGAACTTGCCTATAAGTAGGTGTTACTTGAGAAAATTGTTAAGACATGCCAACTGACCTAGGAATGACCCTCATCTAGGCATTTGCAGGGTAGCTGATCTCCAGAATGGCACAGCAGGGAAGGAACAGCCTCTGTTTCAACTAGGGTGAGTCTCAGGAGAGGAATCAAAAGCAATCAGCCAAACTTGCTGTGATGCCCCTGCATTTAGTGATCCAATAAACTGAGAAAGTTTCAGCAGTTACTTTCCTGGAGGCTCTCTCTGGGGCCAATTACCTCTGGAGAACGGATAAGAAACACTAACAATTAAAAGTGCCACAGAGAGAGAGAGAGGTGTTTATACTCTGGCGAGGCTCCTAGCCACAGGGGAAATTAGGGAGCACCTGCATGGCCTGGATAATGAACGATTTCAAAAGAAAGACACAGGCACTGAGGACCTGGTCCCTACGGGAGGATGCTAAGGCCTGAAATGCTTAGAAACTTGAGCCTTAAGGAGGAATTTTCTGAACTGAAACAAAAATGCAGATGAATTTAATTTCCCAGAAGGCTCAGTGGTTAAGCTCTCATTACAGAAACTCCATGTGAGACTATGTAACTTGGGGTGAGGCCGGATGCCACCCAACATGGACCAATCATATGGCAGGAGACCCACTTACAGAAAGCAAAGGACAAAAACAAAAACATAATCTAGGAGGAGCTTCTGACGAACAAATGGCCTTCTTTTGTCAGGTGTCTCAATAAATGTTTTAAGTGTGGCCTGATGAGGACGTAAAGTCATAAAAGACTTGTCTGTTTAGAGGGGGCCGAGGTCAAGAACAATGAGTATTAGCTACCTTTGTGGTGCTTGCTGGTCATCCTATGGAAGGGATACTTTTCTTTTGTATCTAACTTATATCTCTTCTTGAAATATGCCTGTATTCTATTGCCCTGCTCTCAGGCAACTTCCACATCATAATAGTCTTTGGGCAGTATTCACTTGCTGACTGTTCTATGCAACTAACTCTCACACTTCTATGGCTACCAGTACAATATAAATTTACCATGACACACTTTAATGTGATTTAGATTAAATCTCAATTAAAAAAATCCTGCTTAACTAAAGCACAATCGAGAAATGAAATATCTAATGATTTGTGAAAAGCATTGAACAAGCTTCAGTGAACAAGCAAATTACTACAAAGCACTTTGTTAGTGGATTATGTCAATGCTACTGTATCTGGGTCTATTGTCAAATAAAGTGGACCATGGTGCTGCCAAGAAAGTAAAGGGATTCAACAGCAGAAGAAGAATTGAGTCTCTGTCAGGGAGCAGTTGTGGTGATACAGAAACAACACAGAACTTACAGAAATGGGACCTGAGCTTCAGTTCCTACTCTTTGACTTTCTGGCTGTATAACTTTAAGAAAATTATGTTACCTCCCTGAGGCTCAGTGTTTCCATCTATAACTAGGTAAAATGTGGGATAAAAATACTCTAATAAGACGGCGTTGGGGATTAAATGAATAATATTTTAGGAATATACATAATAACACGCCTGACATTTAGGTGGGTCTCTGTGCTGGTGAAGGGCAGGATACATAGGATTATTTTCACTCCCTCTTGAAATACCACCAACACAATAGTTAAAGAATTATTTAACATAGAAACACCCACAAGGAATAAGAGAAAAGGAGAGGAGATGCCATAGATGAGATATCAATAAAATTTTCCAAAATTTTAAGTAGGTATAACAGTGGCAACTAGCTTGGCAAACAGGAAAACTGAAGCCCGCATTTCTCCAGAGGAGAGGGGCTAAGACAACTCAAGCTGGGGTTCTCCATAGCATCAGAGGGGCTCAGAAAGTGAATGTACAAAATAGTCTTCAAGGCTGGAAATGGGTTGGCTGAAAGTCTGAAGAGTAGTGATTAATTCTGAAAATATCAAACCAGAGAGTCTCAGGTACTAAAAGACCTAACATACTAATAGTCAGGGGTCTCCAAGCAAAATGGCCAGAGCACTGAGTACCACACAGTTGAGTCCATCAGTCGACAAGTTCTGCTTATACCCACAGAGTTTCCAATTAACATTCTTGTGTCTCATTCTTAAATAGGAAATGGGCAACCAAAGATCAGCAGCATTTGGCCAAGACCAGTATAACAAGGTGTAAGGCATGAGATGTAACGATGTCAAACTGCAAACTGAACTTCAAGACATCCCTCAAAGTAGATAGCCATGGACTGTTCACATGATTCTTGAACTCCTCACGCACTGTGAGGATATAAAACAGGGAGATAAGAAGGGAAATTGAGAGAGGGATTTCTTTGGAGAAAGCTATGGGTGCTCTACCACCATCGCACAACCAAGAGGGATGAGGTATGGCATGGTTCCAGCTAACCTCAAGTCAAGAAAGGGACTTCGAGAGAGCCACTCAGAGATACCACTCAGAGAGCTGGATATATGTCCCGAGCCATCAGTGGGATATAGTTAATGGTATTTGACTCACTCCTGGAAAAAGTCCATGAATGAGTCTGGTTGAGTAGAGAGACATAGCTGTTAACTGACTACAATCTCACTGAGTATAAGAAAAAGGGGCCAGTTTCCCACGGTCCATATAGGAAAGTGTGAAAGAGACATCTGGGACCACTGTAATCATTTCTAAGAGATCACCAGGAGGGAACAATGAAAATCCAGCAAAACTAATTGTGTGGAATGGGTCCTAAAATGGGCCAAGCAGAAAACAGCTAGCTAAGACAAGTGAAGGGTAATCAAGAGTTTGCAGTTGGACCTGTACTGAATCCACAAAAGCATCTGAGAAAAAAAAAGTTAGTTAAACATCTGCCAGGTCCAGAGAGCATGAAGCAAATTTATGATGGCACTAGGCAAGTTAGGACTTACCTGCCCTCCAGGCTCATCATCCTCCCCTCCTATTTCAGCCCTGAAGGGGTCAAGATTAGCAACAGGGGTGAGGGTGGTGGATGCTAAAGGCAGGAAAGGACGGATGAAGGGCCATAATGCCCTTTGCTGGTCTCCAGCAGTTTAAAGGCCCGACCAGGGGAGAGTAGCAGTCACTTTATTTTTTACTTGTTTATTTATTTTTAAAGTGGCGGTCACTTTAAATAAGTTGGATGCTTTAGCTATTACACAGATGGAATTACCCAAGGACTTAGTTTCGTGTTTTGTGTCTGAAATTGATTTTCTATTTAGAACTGTTTATTAAGAGTCATCAGAAAAGACGGCAGATGGGACTGCCCAAGTTTTTACTTAGGAAAGAGGTGAATAGTTTCCCCACTGAGTTAATTCAAAAAGGACAGGAAACAAACAAACAAAATAAAGAAGCTTTCTGGTTCCACGTGTGAGTCATACTTGTTCCAAACAAACATAAAAAGAAGTCAGAAAAAAAAAATCAAGGTAATTCAGAAAAAAGAAGGACAAAAACTTGCAAAGAGAGAAAAACAGATCACACAAAAAAGATCAGGAATAAGAACAAAATCTTAAAAACCTCTCAACCACAGAAGCTGGAAGACAGCGGCAACGTCTTCGTAATTATAGGGGAAAATAATTTTGCCTAGAATTCTATGCCCAGGCAACTTAAGGTAGACAACAGAATTACAAAATTTTCAGATATTTCAAGGTCTCAAAAATTTTACCTCCTATTCATTCTTTCCTAGGAGCTGCTCCACCAAAATACAGGTAGTAACGTGTATTAAAAGGGGATCCAGGAAACAGAGGATCCAAGGAAAAAAAGAAGTCAAGCAGTAAAAGGAATTCCCAAGAGAATGGCCCAGAATAAATGCTTCACAGCAGGCCTGAGGAGAAGCCATTTCAGGCTGGGCAGGAGGATGGAAGTCTCCTGAACAGACTTCTCCAAGACAAAACAAGTGGAACTGACCTACTACTAGATGCGGCTGACCATTTTGAGAATGATCTCCCAGTTCTGTCACATAAATTACAGCTAGGTACAATGAAAATTAAGCTAGTGAAAAAGAAATCTAAATATTAACTTCAGGAAAAAATTTATATGAGAAGGATACCATGATAGTAATACGAATTTTTACTGAGTCTCCATGTGCCAGGCACCGTTCTAAACACTATATGGCCATTGTATCTTAAAATCCTCATAATTACCCTGTAAGCTAAGATTACAGGGTAGGAATTATGACTAGGCGCATTTCATCAATGAGGAAAGCAAGGTACGAAGGGGTTAAATGACTTGAATGATATCATATAGCTAATAAATACCGCAGCCCAGATTTGAACCATGTAGTCTAAACTCTTAAAATCTGTGCTCTGTTGTAACCATAGGTTTGCCACAAGGCTCAACAATGAACAATATTTTCATAGTTATCAATCTGTGCACACTGAATACTGGTCTGACCTATAATTATGACCTGATTATATACTGAGAATGGGGGGAGAGGAAGTATGTTGGGATAAGGTCGGGGAGTAAATCCTCATCTTCCCTGGTAGAAAGTTAATACAAATGATTAAAATTAGAAGGAAAAAAAAGTAAACCTATAATAATTTAAGTATATTCCTTAAAATACACAAGTCACAGAGGAAAAAGCTGAAAAAATTTGGAGAGGGTAACTGGATTTAGGGGTAGAGAAAGGAAAAGCAAGGCACTGATGCTTTTCACTATTATGGTTAACATATTTCCGCTTTTGAACTATGCATTCGCATTTCTTTGATTTAAGAAACCAATTTAAACAAAATTTGTAAATACCGGGGAAAGGTAAGGAGGGATGGCATCTAGTAGTGAAATGGGCACTTGGACGCTAGCGGCAGGAGCCAGGACTACCGTGCAGACCAAGGACAAGCTCTACTGGTCTTCTTGCAACTATCCAGGCGTACCTTCTGCACCAAACACCTCTCCGCAGTGAGAGCAGAAGAAGTGCTCTGGGTGCCAGGTTTGGTTCATTGCCGTCAGCACTTTCTGGAAAAGGAACACAAGGAGCCATATTAGAAAGCCCCGGAGCTATAAACCAGGGCCCCAGTGCAAAAGCAGGGGAAGGGGGACGACTTACATCCAGGATGGGAGCAGCACAGTAAGCGCAGCGTGGGGAAAAGAGATGGTGGTAGTCCTTGGGGCAGTAGGCCAAGCCACTCCGCTCAAAGAAGGGATGGGAGCCGATCTCCTCCTTGCAGTGAGTGCAGACAAAGTGCTCTGGATGCCACGCTTGCCCTAGAGCATGGATCACCTGGGGAGGAAATAAAGCATGGCAGGCGACGGCAGCTGGGTCCTGGAGGGCCTACAGGTCGCACAATTCTGGACAGAACTTTTTACACAGTATTCCACGCAAACAGCGCCCCCACGGGGTTACACAACACAGAGGCCTAGATCTAGGTCCCACCTATGCGGTCTGGTGTCCATGCTTTACAGATAGTAAAAGGGAGCCCAGTTTCCTGACTAATCATGCTGATAAAAGTCTGTAAATGTTCGTTACCACAACACTGCCCTGGAGGGTGGGGGAATCAGAATCGAGCACAGTAGCGATAGACAGGGATAACTACAGTCTGGCCTGGAGGAATTCCTGGAGAGGAAAAGGCCAAATGAGAGTTTTTATTCCTCTGGTCTGAACACCTCATCTCCTGCCCCATGCTGAGTCAGATCTCAGAGCCCTTTATTGTGGTTTTGGTGAAGGATGATGCAGAGCAGGAGTCTGTGGCCATGATTCAGAGCTGAGTCAGGTGAAAGTTACCATCAGTCAACTTGACTGAGAATGTTGGGACAGAGTGGACAGTGGGAAAGTCCCTCCCAGGACCAGAAGTACAGAAAGACAGTTAAGAGTCACACCTGGGAGTCAGGCTCTCCCAGTTCAAATCTTCCCTCTACCTCTTTCTAGACTTGGACATGTCAGTTAACATCCTGGAGCCCTTGGTTCCCTCGTCTTTACAAAAGAACAATAGTAGAGTTTCCCTTGAAGGGCTGATGTGACCATTAAGAAAGAATACTTGGCAAAGTGCTCAGCTCAGTGCCTGGAGCACTGTAAGAGATGAGTGATTATTAACTATTATGAAAATGTCTTAGGATAGAAGGTGACAGAGTAATCCTTGGTGGGACAGAGACAGACATACACGCAGCCATACATGGCGGCAGGACCAACATCTCGGCCCACCGCACCTTTCCTGCAATCGGTTTCTGACAGGAAGCACAGTGGCCCTTGGGCACTGTGGCAACTCCAAGGTCCTGCAGATCCTGCTCCAATCCCCCCAGCATTGAGTCCAGGGAGGCCTTGGGATCTTGCTTATTTGCTGTGTGTTTCTTGCTGGCATCTGCTTTCACTGCAACCTGGCACCAGGGAAAGAAACGTGAAAAAGAATCAGTCTCATGAATATTTGCCCTCGTTGGCATCTTCTACATGACTCCACAAGCTCACCTCTACTGACTGATGCTTTGTTCTGTACCTAACCTCCGGCCAAGGCACTGGAAGAGTCCAACATTGTAACACCAATAAAAATGCTTCCATCTCCCTTTTATCCTAAATTCCTCGGGCCAGGTGAAACACGAGTAATCTTCCTCCATTTGTAAATCTTTTCTGACCATGGGAAATTGAGTGTATGAAGATGATACCTTTCCTCACTCCTACAATGACCACAGGTCAACAACTAATCATATCTTCTTTTTGCCCATTTGTTCTGCAATGTTTAATTAGTACCTAGTTTGTGCCAGTCACAGCTCCAGGCTCTTGGTATAGAGCAATGTACATGGTGACTGAGGAGTCTGCCCTCATGGAGTTTACTTTCTCTGGGTGATAGACAATAAGCGGATTAAATAAATGTATGATGTGATGTCAGGTAGAGATAAGACATAAGTTATATATCGAGATAGAAGTGCCAGAGGGTGGGACAGATTATTCCATGATGTACTTAGGGGCTCAGAAATATTGAATTGATGGGAAAAGCATTCCAGAGGGAAGGGAGGCCCAGAGGAAGAGAACAGTTTGGTACGTCAGGAGAAAGTCAGAAAGGTCGGGGTGTGGGGGGGGTTGGAACAGAGGGAGTGAGAGTAAGCGTGGCAGGAGAAGACAATGGAGAGTGAGGCAAAGATCATGTGGCGCCCTCATGGTAAACTCAGGTTTTATTCCAAGGGTGATGGAGCCTCTGGAGGAGTTTAAGCATGAGAGCGAAAGAATCTGATCCACAAGATCCCTGTGGTAGCTGAGTGAGGAGTTAAGTGTAGGCAAGCAAGAGTGGAATAAGAGACACTAGTTTGGAAGGAGATTATTGTTGACAGTTCAAACCAGAAATAATGACTTGGTCCAGTGTTAGGGGAGAAGGTGATGAGAAACTGTCAGATAAGACTAACTGATGGACTGGATTTATTTAAGCAAACCCCCCAAAACAGTCATTATAATTCATTCAAAGGAAAAGCCTCGAATTACAAAAAAGATGCAATGCCCAGCTTGTCCTTCATCACGTCATGTCCTGATTCTCTCTCTCTCAACTCCTTTCCGACTGGGCTACTACTACCATCGACCTAATACTTCCTGATCAGGAAACAGGTGCTCTCTACAGCCTCCACAGCATCAGATTTGCATGCACTAGACAGACATCCAAAGTCTCCCATCCGCTGCCCTCACTTTACCTTTCCAATCTCATCTTTCATTAGTCACTAAAAGCCTCCATTGTTTGAGGCCAGTCAGGCTCCCTGCAGTCTCCTGAATGTGATTTGTTAGTGTCTGCCCTCAGGCCTCTACATATCCTATTTTCACTGCCAGGAATAACCTTGCATTATCTCACTAATCCAAAATGCTCATTTCCCTTCAAGAAACTTATCAACTGACAGATTTCCTTCCTCCTCTTTTATATAATGTTACTTAAGGTTGAAGAGATTAGTGTTCCAAAGGTTACCGTCTGGAAAGCCCAAAAGGGTCATCAATATGAAGTAAGTAAAAACACAATTTTATATGTATACACACACATACATATACACACACATATATCTATCCATATCTACATCTGTTTGCTTACATATTCCAGAATACTTCTGAGTGAATATATAAGAAACAGGGACAGAGGGGTGCCTGGGTGGCTAGGTCGTTAAGCGTCTGCCTTCGGCTCAGGTCATGATCCCAGGGTCCTGGGATCGAGCCCCACATCGGGCTCCCTGCTCCACCGGAAGCCTGCTTCTCCCTCTCCCACTCCCCCTGCTTGTGTTCCCTCTCTTGCTGTGTCTCTCTCTGTCAAATAAATAAAATCTTTAAAAAAAAAAAAGAAAGAAACAGGGACAGAACTGGATGGCTGGGGACAGGGCTGATAGGGAAATAGCTCACTGCAAACTTTTATACTTCTGATTTTTGCACAACATGAATTATGGCTCATTCAAAAAATAAACAGATATTTTAAAAATGTAAATAAACCATGACACACATTAAATCAATTAGGAAACACAATTAAAACTCCTAATGTAGATTTTTTCCCCAGTATTTTCAGATATACAATACAACGAGGAATGTACCCTGCTCTATTGTAGGCACTGAAGAAAATTTGTTTCTGACGTCCATTCATTTGTTCCTCTAATATGTCAGGAACTGTGCAGGCATTGGGAGTCCAAAGGTGAGCCACAAAATCAGGTTCCTGACCTCCCCAGGGACACACCTTTTTATATACTGCCTTGCAATTATTTCATAGTCACTCATGCATTATCAAATTCTCCAATCAATTTAAAGTGGTTGAATTCTCCACCTTAAGAATTCTAGATGATTTCCCTTAATAAATTATTAAGCCCACTTCTCTGATTTCCATCCCCTGCCAGGCCACGTGAGCTCACCACTCATGCTCTAGAGGCTAGAACAAGGAGGCGGATTTTTATCTCTGTATGGGGCTCAAGACTCCTCATCCTCCTTACTTTCAAAGCCATACTCTGATCTCCCTGGCTCTGCCTCTGTTTGCCCTCCTCTGTCCCACTCAGGCAGGTCTCTCACGGTCCCACCACATTGCATCCAGCTGTAGATGCCCATGCCCTTGGGGCTCATGCCAACTGGAAGGGCCTCTTCTCTCATCTCTTTGTATCCAAACCCTTTCCATTCTTTGGAGTCCATCCCACATCCCATCCCCACCTCTGATAAAAGTCTCCACATTCCTAATGTTGGCTGCACATATTTTGATAAACTATCTGTGTTTTAATCTACAAATGTTACATGGGCTTCTGCTTCATTTTACCAAGCACATTCCACATTCCTTGAGATCAGAGCCTGCATCGTATTATCTTTTGTGTTAATACATAATAGAAAGTTGAGTTCATCTGCTGAATTAAATTTAGTCTGGGAAAAAAGAATGACAACCAAGAGTTCTGACAGGAGACGGTAGAGCTGAGCTCCACGGAGACACACTCAGGAACTGCACTCACCTGGGTCTGCATCTCACACAGGTGGGCCATGAGCTCATCCAGCTGAGCAGCTGCTGAGGTTTTCGGAGGATGTGGTGCTTCCTTTGGCTTTTGGGCCTCACTACAGGGAGAAAAAAAATCCTAACACATCAAAACTCAGATAAATGTTAAGCCACACATAAAATACCAGAAAATGCAGTTTTAACTATTAACCCCCTACACGTGAGTAAAACTAGAGAAAGAGAGTATTTAAAAATAGGTAGTGACTAAAAATCTGAACAAGGTCTCCCTGCCTTTTGTCTCTATATCTCCGTTCTAGTCATCTCAAAAACTGACCATTGTTCTCAAGTGAATGAAGAAAAGCACAGGACAGGTAGCTGGCAGGCCATTGTCCCCCAGTGGTCAGGCGCAAAGCAGCTTCTGAAAAGACCTTTAAGAAGACAATGGCCCAGGGATGCCTAGGTGGCTCAGTCAGTTAAGCATCTGCCTTTGGCTCAGGTCATTATCTCAGGGTCCTGGGATTGAGCCCCGCATGGGGCTCCCTGCAGGGAGCCTGCTTCTCCCTCTCCCACTCCCCCCTGCTTGTGTTTACTCTCTAGTGGTCTCTCTCTGTCAAATAAATAAATAAAATCTTTAACAAAAAAAAGAAGACAATGGTCCAATATACATTTTTTATTTGCAAAGCATTATTTTTGAAATTATAAAGTATTACACTTTCTCTCATTGTCAGGTGAAAGATAAAAACTAAGTAAGAATAAAGAGCAAGCATCAGCAAACTAAGGTCCATGGGCCAAATTTGGCCATGCCCGTTCATTTACATACTGCTGCTTTCTTACAGAGTTGGATAGTTCCAACAGAGACCTTGTGGTCCAAGGTCAAAATATTTACTGTCTGCCCTTTACAGAAAAAGACCACTGAGAGAGTTTAGACAATGTACATGATGTTCGTTTTACAACCATATAATTGTGAATAAATTGATGATTAAAATTTGGACCCAAGAAACAGAATACAGAGTCTATTCAAATACTTGCCCAATTGTTAGTAAATTTTTTTTAAAGATTTTATTTCTCAGAGAGAGAGAGAAAGCACAAGCAGGGGGAGCGGCAGACAGAGGGAGAAACAGACTCACCACTGAGCAGGGAGCCCCGACGAGGCTCGATCCCAGAACCCCGGGATCATGACTTGAGCCAAAGGCAGATGCTTAACCAACTGAGCCACCCAGGCATCCCAGCCAATTGTTAGCAAATTAACTGTGTATGAGAGCACAGAATAAAAGCTCAATAAATTCTGAGAAGTAAATACAGACCATATTCTTCTATTGCTTTAATACAAATTAATCATAAGAAATCTACCCGCTTAAGAAAAAATAAAGCACTGCCAAATAATTCTTGTGAAGAAAAAAAATAAACTGAATTTTCAACCTATTTAGAAATAGCAATGAAAGCACATACACACACACACACCCTTCGAAGTGGAACCAATATATATATTTTTAAAGATTTTATTTATTTATTTATTTGTCAGAGAGAGTGTGTGTGCGTGTGTGCGGGCACATGAGAAGGGGGAGGGTCAGGGGGAGACAGAGAAGCAGACTCCCTGCTGAGCAAGGAGCCCAATGTGGGACTCGATCCCAGGACGCTGGGATCATGACCTGAGTCAAAGGCAGACTCTTAACCAATTGAGCCACCCAGACATCCCACCAATATGCTATAAACAGGAAAAAATACAAATGGATTTAAGTGCAATATTGAAAAATAAGAGACTAGAAGCAAATAAACAAAACATTCAACTCAAGAATCTAAAAAAAAACCCTAAAATAATTAAACAGAAGAACTAAAAGCGTAAATTATTGAAACAGAAAACAAACAGAAACTGAGGTTTTGGGGAGAATTGTGTAAATTTCAAGTACATAGAAAAATATGGAAAATCACCAAATAAGTTCTAGAAATATCACAGACACTCAATACTAAAACCAGACAAAAAGAGCACAGTGTATGTGTGTACGCACGTGTGCATGGGTGCAGGGGGAGGGGGAGGGAGGGAAGTTCAATAAAAACAGCAGAAATGAGTTTTAAAAACATCCTGGCTAGATAGTGTTATGCCAGTCTTTCAAGTGTGGTTCAACATTAGAAAAAGGATTACTGTAATTCATTATACCCAAGAACAGAGAAAAGCTTTATAAACATATTGATAGGTGTTGAAAAGCAGTAGAAAACAAATTCTACCACCATTCCTGTTGTGGAGGATCGAGGAAAAGAAGTTTCATAACCTGATAAAATATAAAATCTATAATGAACCTCATATTTAATGTGCAAATACTAAACACATTTCTAATTAAGAGAAGAGCTCCGTGCTCAGTGGTGAGTCTGCTTAAGATTCTCTCCCTCTGCCCCTCCCCCACCTCTCTAAAATAAAATAAAATCTTTAAAAAAGAGAAGGAAGAGAAGGACAAGGACCCTACTATCATTGCTGCTCTGCAGTATTACTGCAGACTGCATTACTGGATGCATTTAAGAATACAAATAAGAGATTTATATATTGGAAAGAAAAAGGTAAAACATTCTCATTCCTATTTTCTCTTTTAAATAGATGGTATGATCACTTACCTGGAAAATATAAGATAAGTGACTGGATAATTATTGGAATGTATAGAAAATACCAGGATAGTTACTAGGTACAAGAATAAAATGAGGGGGTGCCTGGCTGGCTCAGTAGGTAGAGCATGTGACTCTTTTTTTGTTTTTTAAAGAAAGAACATGTGTGTGGGGACCTGAGCTGAGGAGGGGGCGGAGGGAGCAGGAAGGGTCAGTGGGAGAGAGAGACTCTTAAGCAGACTCCACGCTCAGCCTGGAGCCCTGTGATCATGACCCTGAGATCATGACCTAAGTGAAATCAAGAGCCAGACACTTAACCCACAGAGCCACCCAGGGGCCCCAGGGCATGTGACTCTTGATACTGGGGTTGTGAGTTCAAGCCCCACACTGGGCATGGAGCCTACTTAAAATAAAAAAAAAAATTAAAAATTAATTTAAAAATAAAAAAAGAATAAAATGAAATAATTAGTATCTTTCCTATAGACCAGTAGTAGCTGATTTGAAAATCCACTGGGAAAAAAGAACATGTTCATAATACCAACAAAAAAACTATAAAATATTAAAGAATCACTCTAACAAGACTTCTATGAAGAGAAACCCACTGGTAGACATACAAGATGCACATAAATCATGATACATAATATGATGTCAGTTTCTCCAGTTAAACTATAAATTCAATGTAATTCATACAGAAATCCTAATAGAATTATTCAAGTTCATTAATAAGTTGATGCTAAAATTCGTGGGCTAGAACACTCAAGATAATTTTGGGGAAAAAAAAAAGAGATAAAGAAGGAAGATCTGTCCAATAGCTGTGCTTTCCTATAAATTAACAATAAAATTTGTGTGATGTTGGTAAAGAAATGGACAAACAGATCAAAGGAATGGAACAGAGAGAAAGCCCAGAAAGAGACTCCTGAACCATGAGAATTTTGCATATGCTAAATGTGCCATTTAAATACATTTAAACATTAACAAAAAAGAAAATGGAGGACACTTTTTATAATTTGGGGTGATGAAGACTTTCCTAAGAAAGGCATAAACTCTGAAGTGAAGGAAAAAAAAAGAAAAAAATATCAATAGGGCTAATCTCAAAAAAATTTAAACATACATAAGTATTTAAAACATAAATAATATCCAAATATTAAAAAGTCCACAAATAAGGCAAGCTAATAGAAACATGGGCTAGGGGATTAAAAGAAGAAAAGCAAGTTTCAGAAAAAGAAATTTGAATTTTTATTACCATATAAAAATATGTTCAATCTCAATCTTTAATATCCAAATTAAATAGTGAGATACCAATTTTTACCCATTAGTCAAAAATCTGAAAGACTGATAACATGCAGTGGTGGCAAAAGTCAGGATTATCTTACACATATACATTTACATACATCATAGGTAGCAATGTAAATTTATTATATCCTTTGCAAGGCAGTATCTATCAATAATTCATATGCATATATCCTTGGATTCAGCAATCTCACTTCCAAGATTCTATCCTATAAGAAAATGAAGATATACATAAAAAGGTATATGTAGATGTTCCTTAAGACAAAAAAGTACAGTCTTTATGAACAAATTAAAAATAAAATAAATGGCCATATAGCTAAATAAATTATAGATACATGCTACAGAATACCATGCAGCTGCTAAAAAGAATGCAGGCATAGATTTATATGAATTAAGGAAGACTTCTTTTTTTTTTTTTAAAGATTTTATTTATTTGACAGAGAGACAAAGAGAGAGAGAGAGAGAGCGCACAGGCAGGGGGGGCAGAGGCAGAGGGAGAAGCAGGCTTCCCACTGAGCAAGGAGCCCAATGTGGGACTTGATCCCAGGACCCTGGGATCATGACCTTAGCCAAAGGCAGACGTTTAACCAACTGAGCCACCCAAGCACCCCAAATTAAGGAAGACTTCTAAGATACATTGTTAAGAAAGCAAAGCCCACAACAATATGAAAACTATCCTTCCATTCATGTGAATTTATAAGCACATAAACCTAAGTGTGACTTTGCATACACAAAGGTCTATAAGGAGACATATCTGACAGCAGTTACCTATGGGGATAGCAATTAATGGTGGTAGGAGGATGCGTTCAAAGGGAGATGGTCTAACTTTTTACTCTGTATATTTCTGAATTCTTAGTTATTTTTACCATTAACAGGTTAAATATAAAGTTAATGTAAGTACAGAAAATTTTAAAGATGCTGAGAGATATAAAGAAAAAATTAAAATCACACAATTCTCCTTTTGAGAGGCAATCATTCTGGACATGTTGGCTTAAACCATTATGCCCTTCTATGATTGTGCCTAATTTTGGAAAATTAGAACGACCTTTTTTCGTATTTTGAAGTATCTTTATGTATTTTCTTATCTAACTTTGCATCCACAGCTAGCACTTTCTGTCCACTCTATGTCAGGCCCTCCATAAAGGGTTTTACACATGTTCTCCTTAAATCCTTATAACAACCTTAAAAGCTAGGTATTCTCACCCCCAGAAGAAAACACTGGGGCTTAGAGAAGTAAAAAGCTTTGCTCTATATGATACAGCTGGTAAGTAAGAGAGTTTGGGCCCACAGACTGCAAAGCTTATGTCTCCTCTAGCACCACGCTCAACTATCCTCCAAAACGATCTTTAAAGGCTATCCAGCTTTCAAATGTAGAATGTACCATATTTAATTAAACCAACCATTTATCACTAGACACCTAGATTGTTTTTGATTTTCACTGTTATAATACAGTAAATAAATATCTGCACCCATATTTGATTATTTCCAGAGTAAATTTTGAGAAGTGGAATTTGAATCATATAGGTAACTGACTCTGGAGTAATGTTGTAACCAACATTAACTAAGCTTAGCTAACACTCCACCAAACTGACTCTGACACTCTCTCTCTCTCACACACACACACATGCACACATGCGCACAAAGCCATAAATAAACCAAATATTGTAAGTCTTCCACTAAATATATTTTCAAAAATGAAAACATAGATGTACTACTTTACTTATTTTTGTGTATTTATCAACCAGCCAAAAGGCAGAAGGAAAATACCTTCCTCTCTTAGGGAAAAAAGACTGTCTTTTAGGTACCACATATCCCACTACTGACTTATGTTTGAGTATTTAGCTATAAGAAAAAAGTAGGAGGAAGTGGATATCTTCCCCTCCAAAGATAAAAGATTTTGTCTTTTAGGTACAACATGGCCTCCTGTCAGGCATAATTTTTTTGTCTAATCTAGGAACAAAAACGGTCAGGTATGCAAGTGCTTGATTTGGTCCTTGGAGGCTTCCGAGAAAGTGCAGGGGAGCTCCTCACAACACTTTCAAGTCATAATCCTGCAGTCATTGCTGCCACAGGCGTGTGTCTTGAAAGTACGAAAGGCAACAGGGCTGTCGGCACATTCTCTGCTCTGCTTCCCCGTGTAGAATAAATGTAGCTTCTTATATGGGTCTGTACAACCCTAAAAACCTGTCTGTCTCACAGTTGGGGCATCCTTGTGCTTACTCAAAAAAATTGTTATTGGTTTTTAGCAAGATTCCTAGAGCAGTATGGAAAGAGAAGTAATCATATTTGTGATACCCTAATAGTCAACAATATAATATTCTAACTAAGAATGGAAAGGCCTTAAAGAGTTGGTGATTACGTAACTACAGAAAGTGTTCCTCAAAAGAGAAGAACCTCAAAAATCAGAGCTCCTTTGAATTGTACCCTCATGTCTTGAAGATGGTAAAAGTGCTCTGCTATGTCATGAGCAACAGTGTAATTCATGAGTCAGAGATTTTAATAATATCCAAATACAAGAGATGTGTTTAAAAGAATACAGACTCCTCACGTGAGGGGCTTCACTGTGCTGGAGTTTTCTCCTATTCATTCCTCTGCAAATGTTTTTATGAATTTTTTCTCCTCATTCTTACCAAAATTATTTTTGCTCATGTGTACATTTCTAAATTATTGTTCATATTGCTATTGATATATAACTACATTAGAAATATTATCACGTCACTATACTCGCAACTAGTATTGAATAGTTTCAAGGTTGAGAGCAACATTCAGTTCACTTAAACAAGACAGAGGAAATTGTGAAAGTGGGATGCGGGAATCTGGTTTCTGAGTCTCAAGCCCTACCTATGCCTGCAAGCATTTTCGGCTCTGAGTTACACCAGCCATAGGGATTTGTATCAGTCTATTACATACTGACTAGGCCACCTGGATTTCCTATCAATCTCCCACGCAGATCTTCAGGGCAAGTATCACTCCGTACTTGGGGAGGTGTATCAGTCATGGCCCACTCCGGAAAATGCAAACATACTGGGAGTAAGCAGAAGGAATTTAATCCAGAAATTTGATTACACAGGTGATGGCAGAACTAAAGAAGTAAACAGAAGATATTGAGGTAACTCAGAGATAAGCCACAGCAGGTAACCATTAGGCCAAAGGGACAAAAAAAAAAAAAAAAAAAAAAGGCAAAGTTACTAAAAGCCAGGGGCCAAGGCAGATAGGCACATGCTGGAATCACAGCGGCTCTGTCTTGCTCGAGCTGAAGCCATAAAGGAGGTGTAGCTTGCTGACCTGGATGACGCTGTGGAGAGAGACTAGGGGAAGAAATGTCCTGACTTGCCCTGCCTTTCGCCCTCCAGCTCTCTCTGCACAGTGCCTCCCATTGGTCAAAGCCAGCGAAAGCCAACTAATCCTGGAGCCTGGAAAACCCAACCGACAGGGGTCAGCTCCCCTGGAATACAGAGCAGAGCAAGAAAAGAGAAAGAAATGGGAAAAAGATCAAAGATTTATACATTGGTGTGCCATCAATTGACCACAATGCCAGATATACAGAAAAATCGCTGTCAGTAGTGCTGGCTTTTATGTTCTGGGTGCCTGTGTTCACTAATATTTCTATTGAAGTCTTGGTTTCCTAGTTTTTAAAAATCAATATTTACTGCAAGTCTATGTGCACCAGGCACTGTTTTCTTGTTGTTTTGCTTGTTTTGATTTTATTTTTTTTACAAGAAGGATGGACAGGGTGGTCTAGGGGACATCCCACCAGGCCATCTCCTGGAACTGGAATAAACTGGCAATTATATTAATAAACTGGCCTTACTCCCATCGAAGTAGAAAGAGTCCTCAGGTGGGAAGTTATAAAAAGACTTCATGATAACACAGGTCCTTCCCTTATTTGGCATCATGTGTGCGCTACTGGCTGCAATTCTAGAACCAAGTAAGGTGTGGTGTGGTACTCTTTACCACACATGAGCCTTTGCTATCTTGTTTCCCTTTTAATTTCTTAAGCCCTTCCATTTGTTTCCCAGAAAGCTGATTTTTTTTAAAATGACAAGCACTACCTGAAGAGAGAACAAGAAAAGCAGCCTTGGCCAGAAGAAATGATTTAGTAAGTGGGTCTGTTTCAGTATGTAATGTTTTTAAAAGGAAACCCCCTTCCCTGGCTAAATAAATCTTGAGCAAATATAGAAAGAAGTACAGATTCATTAGAAGTACACATTCGGTAGTATGCTGCAGAGACCCTCTTGTCTCGGTTTGAGATCCTGATCCTAGCTCTGGTTTTGTTGGCATCTTGCTGAAATTTCATTAGGTACTTCCTGTTCCATGATCTGGAACATGCTATTTACAGTAGCCCGGCCAAAACATTTGTGGTGACTCAAACTATTTACACTTTTCTCAGGTGGTGAAGGAAATAGCAGAGCCCACCAGCCCAGACAACCCATCTCGAAGCCACGTACCCTGAGAAACTGCCAAGTGAGTTTGGCAGAATTCCACCTCTGCTCAAACACTGGGGAAGAGGAGGAGCGACTTAGCAGGAGTTCTAATAATGAACACACGCAAAAGCATCCAAACACAGATTGATAAAATTATCTAATAACTTTAATTTTTTTAAGTATTTAATAAAAAACATACCTGTAGATATTGTGCTCCTGGATATGGGTAGTATACACGAGCTGCACCTAAGACATGTAAGCGACAGAGAAGAGCAGAGAATGAGTGTCTGTTAGGAGAATGCTGGCACTCATCTACACCCAGAATTAGGGGATGTTCTTAGCTTCTAAACGGGACTGGTAACTAGCGTATCTCTGAGATCTTTCACAAGGGAGAGGAAAAACAGCCATCCCACAGCAAAAGGCCACGTTCTAAGCAAATAATAATGTCCCTCTCCCTGCCCCCAAAGCACTGAAATCGAGAAGTTGATCGTACTCACATAGGAACCACAAAACAAACAAAATGAATCAGAACAAAGCTCTTTAACTAGACAGGATGGTGTCTAGGGGAAGACTATAACACAACTAAATTTAACATACAAAAAAATAATAATAATGTGTGTCTCTAAAGGGTAGTTGCCTAGCAACTCACTCATTTATTGAACAAATATTTATTGAATACCTGTCATGTGCCAGGGCCAGGGATGCAGCAGTCAAAAAACAAAACTAAACGAACAAACAAAAATTGTCTACCCTGACCTTACATTATGGTGGTGAGAAACAGGTAATAAAAACATTAATAAGAAAAAGAACAAATCCATTAATATGAAAACTCATCAGGAGGTGGGAGATGAGAAATGGGGGAGAGATGGCAATTAAAAATATATTGATCAGGGAAGGACTCACTGAGAAGGGGACACTTGAGTGAGGATTCATTGAAGGGAAGGGAAGTAAGCAGATATCAGGCGGAACACGGTTCAGGGGGCCAGCACCCTGGAGCATCTGTGGAACAGAAAGGAGGCTGGGGTGGCCTGCACAGTGAGACAGGGATGGGAGTAAAAGGGGCCAGATCAAGCAGGTAGGGTGACCATATAATTTATTGTTCAAACTGGGATGTTCTTGAAAGTGAACGAGGGGAAGGTACCAAAAATAATTAATACTCTATAATTTTTAAAATATATATTTATTGACCAAAAGTTTGGTTTTATTGTATTGATGGACCTACAAAATAATTGTTGAAAACTTATTTTCAAAATAAAATTTTCTAGAATATTTTTAAATGACACATAGCTAAAAACATTGATTTCTTTTAAGATTTATTTATTTACTTGAGAAAGAGAGTGCACGCATGTAGGGGAGGGGCAGAGGGAGAAAGAGAGAGAATCTCAAGCAGACTCCCCACTGAGTGCAGAGTCTGACTTCAGGCTTGATCTCACGATCCTGAGATCATGACCTGAGCCAAAATCAAGAGTCAGATGCTTAACCAACTGAGCTACCCAGTCGCCCCAAACATTAACTAAAAAAACAAAAAACAAAAAACAAACTTTTATATTATTTGAATATTTTTAAACAGCACAGGAAATAATTACTCTTTATATAGATTCATATCCCTTAATTGGTTACCTAGCCATTGTTGTCTCTAACATTGTGATGTGGAAATTTTTCTGAAAGATGTCTTTTTTTAATCTGATCTTATTATTTTCATATTTTTAATAAAATTGCAAACTTCTGCAGAGCTGCATTTTATAATTAATATATTTTGAAGTTGTTGACACTTTTAATTGATGCTTCTCTATAAACCATAATTTTTTCAATTAAGCAAAGGCTCCCACTCAGCTGCTGTTAATCCTCTAAATTCAGGGCATATTCTGCTAAATGGAGAATATCCTCAATTGTTTCCCATATTAAAATGTATAAATATTTCTGCCCCAATATTTTCACAGGTGTTGTATTTCTGCCTCCATCCGGAGCACCTTTCTTCAGTAATGTTTTTACAAGATGAGCTCTTAAGTTGTCTCTATTCAAGATTCTTTTTAACATTTTGCCAAATGTAGATACTGCAAAATCATAGGCCTTCACAATTCCATCCCATTCTGGTGGAGAATATAAATTTATCCAATTAAAATTAGAAACTCCACCAAAGGCAAGATTTTTCCAAAGAACGATTTTCAAATTAGGTAATTAAACCATTTGAGCTCTCATCTTTTAACTTGTTCAATTCCTCCCCAGCTTTTGTCAAGAGACATTTGAGCCCTTTCCTTTTTGCAAGCTTTGTTTTACATAATTGCAACTTGCTAAAAGCTTCAAAAGCTGAATTTCCATGCTACATTCACTGAATAATTTGATTAAATATTTCTGACTGATCTTGCACATAATGTAACCTATATTTAAGTTGCTTTACAAAGCATTTTTTCAAAGGCTCAGGCATTTCTAAAATCTGATGACAGGCAACACAGAAAAGCATATGCAACCATACTGAAATGTTTCTGTATTCAACATCAGCTTCTGTCACGAGAGCTTTGTAGATGAGTTATACATGTACTGTGATTATGTGTAAATATATATTTGTAAATTTTGACTTTGCAGTTTCTAGTTTGATTGATGGAATCCTGCAGCTTCTTTGGATGCAGTCATGAATTTTGTGTACATCACAACCAATTCCAGGCACATTTCTGCTTCATAGGTTTTTAAGTCTGTAAAGAACATTTTTTTTATCATAAATCTGTGCTCCACCAAAATTTATATTCATATTACCACCAAAAAAAAAAAAAACCACCCACTTTTTCTTCAATGTTGAACTTCTCAACTAAATTTACAGTGGCATTAACAATATCGGATGTTTCAATTCTTTTTGACAGAAGAATGAATTTCCAAGTACTTTACTTCAATCCTTTGGATTGGATGAGAAAACGAAAGCTTTTGGAATTAACAAATGTCCTGACTGAGGTGGCACTGATATAAAGCTGACATTATTTGGTGGTTTACAAAGGGCATCAACTCAATCATCACGTTTACACTTTAGTTACAAGCACAAGATAACCTGAAACTGACAATGAGCAAAACCAATTTAGAGGCGTCACTTGACCCAAATGGAAAGGTGTGCTTCGCCATGACATGTAGACACACCTCCTGCAGTTGTACATGTTAAATCATTGGGCACACTCTTCTTAAACTATTAACTTCTGAAGTAGAGGCTGATGCTTCTTCCCCATACCTGTGTTTTCCTGTCTTCCAAGGGGGCAGTAATCTACTTGCCTCCAGGGTGGCCAGGAAATGTTGGCAAATATTTGGGGCAAATTACACATTCCCCATCAATTTCTTGAGAAAATTAAACATGTAATTTTGGATTTGGTTTTGGTTTGAGCCAAATGCTGCTCAAAGCATCGAATGCAAAAATAAAAACATTGCCAAATAATGAAATAAATAGCTACAGCTTTACATATACCATTAAGGCCAAAACTGCTTTACCGAGAACTTTTAGATTATGCTACACTCAATGGCAAGAATGCTTAGCCTCTATTTCCTAAACATAATTTGTATGACATTAAGCCAAAGTTTCCCATGTTTTTTTCTGATCCTGAGGAGGCTCTATGTACCTCATGAGCACGAGTGGTGGTATACCAAGTGGCCAGCTGGGGGAAAAGCCTCGAAAGTTTTCCTGCCACCACCTAACACCAGAGGAGTTGGCTGTTCTGACTGATTGTGCTTAAGCTCTTAGCTTTAACAATCAGCACTCTGCATATTATCCCTGAAAGGGTGCTTACCGGTTAGGATTTGTCTGAACAGGATCAGGGAAAGAAGAGATGAGTTATCATTAGCCATCTTTTGGATTTAGCCATAATAAAGTTAGAATTCTGTTCACTGAATCTATTTCATGTGCTACTAGACGAGACGTTGGAAGAAGCCAGAAGAACCAAATGGAGGTCTATCAACCCAACCTGGTTTACGTTAGTGGAAATGCTAACAAGAAAACTTCATAAAATATGGAAAATCTATGGTAAATGGCAAAGCCAATAATAGAATGTTGAGAAAACAAGCAAAAACCCAGGGCTCTTCCAAGTGAACAAGGACATACAGTCACGCCACTAAGGTCAGTGTAAAGACCATGGCTTTTACTTCAAATGGAGATGGAAATTCACAGTGGGATTCTGAGTAGAGGAATGATGAGATCTGATTTAAGTTTTCGGGATCACTCTGGCTGCTACTCTGAAAATAAAATGCAGGGGGCAAGTGTAGCAAACCAGCTAAGAGCCTGTGGCTGTGATCTTGCCTTGAGGAGAAAAGACAATAGCATCCTAGGAGGGTAATAAATGTGCATCCTTAAAACTGTATATATGAAAAAAAAAACTGTATATATGTAGCTGAAGGGAAGAACAGTTAAAGGGGGAAAGAAACACAGGCTCAAATTTTAGGGCCATGCAACCGCGAGTTCATACCAAGTGCGCAAGGATGAATCAGAATACTGTTCAAAACACTGCATATGAAGAGTATCTACTTAATTCCTCTTAAACTAATGCCATTTTCATCAAGCAACTTCCTCATTATAAAGTAGATTCATGTAGACTTACCAACAGGAAGGGAATATGCGAATCAGCAAATACTGTTCTCTGTTGTACTTGATGGTTTTGACTCTAACCAGAAATTAATAAATTGGATTTCTGGGTTTTTCTTATATACCATCTTTTATGAGCATAGCTTGTTTGTGTCGGTTCCCTAGAGTGTCATCACCTGTAGGTGTAATACTAATTGCGTTTCCTAATAATTCAACAGAAAATAAGACCTGGAAAGTTGTGACTTTAAAAAGTCACCCTGAAAAGACTTGTCTGGGCTGCCACTCGGCCTTGCCCAGGTGACCCCCAGTCTTGGTGAGTGCCATTTCAGTCAAACTGCAACATGCAGCTCTGATGCCCAGAGAGTCCTACCAGAAGAGTCTGAGTAAAATAGGGAATACTGTGTTACCATGCCCTCATTAGAAAAAATTCAGTTCTCAAAGGCTTATTCTTCTATGATGATTTTCTCAATTCTCATCCTTTCCAAAAATAGCCACCTTCAAGTTTATCATAGAGGGATTTTTCTTTCTCTTTCCTGGATACACGATTCTCCCTTCATATCATTTTATGTGAGATACAATTAATTTTCAGAAAGGCACTCAAACATGTATATTCAAGGTACTGCAATAAATGAAAAGTTACCGGCAAGGGACTTGCATCATTCTGAACAGAAGGGGTCTCTGAAGTCTTAGCAAGGTTACTCTCCTTTCTGGAGTGCTGATCCAGGGAAAGAGGAGCTGGGCTGGAGGATTCATCACTGTCTTGGAGGGTGGAGCGCTCCAGTTCCTCCAATAAGGCATCTATATCGTAAGATATGAGAGAATCATAATACAGAACATGGGATGATTCCTCTTCTGGGATGATTTTCCCCTTAAATATCACTCCCGTGCCTCCATTCACCTCCTTCTTCTCTTGGGTCAACGCTATCTTCAAATATCTTCCCTTACTCTTTATTTTACTTCAAGAATGTGGTCTATTCTCCCAGAGGATGTTTAATGCCTCCACATACTGTGACCTATTTCCTATGGTTGCATCCAATTTCACAGCATCACTCAAGCATTTGATTTCTTATATTGCAGGGTATTAATTTTTATCATTCATGAAGGGTGGGTTGTCCGCAAAGATCCCCAATTAGAAAAAAAGTAAATCCTATATATTTTTCCTATCAGAAAAGTGTAAGTACTTACATTTTTTTCTAAATGTACCAAGACAGTAATGCTTCATTTTATTTTTTTATTTTATTGTTATGTTAATCACCATACATTACATCATTAGTTTTTGATGTAGTGTTCCATGATTCATTGTTTGCATATAACACCCAGTGCTCCATTCAATACGTGCCCTCCTTAATACCCACCACCAGGCTAACCCATTCCCCCACCCCCCTCCCCTCTAGAACCCTCAGTTTGTTTCTCAGAGTCCATAGTCTCTCATGTTTCACCTCCCCCTCCGATTCCCCCCTTTCATTTTTCCCTTCCTGCTATCTTCTTCTTCTTCTTTTTTTTTTTTAACATATAATGTATTATTTGTTTCAGAGGTACAGGTTTGTGATTCAACAGTCTTGCACAATTCACAGCGCTCACCATAGCACATACCCCCCCCAATGTCTATCACCCAGCCACCCCATCCCTCCCACCCCCCACTACCGCTGGAGTGGTGGGGAGTAATGCTTATTCTTAACCTGATTATTTTTTTCTTATATCCCAAGCACGTAACAAAATTTTCAAAACAAAGTAGAAGTGTTCTGTCTTTTAGGGCATATAGGGTAAAAAAAAAAGGGGGGGGATCAAGGAGAAAATAGATACTGTGAAATCAAGCAAGAAGATGTTGCAATCCAAATCTTGAGATTTGTTTCTCCTGTAGTTTTCTTGGAAAAAACCAATGCACTTTACAAGTATCACACTACCACTTTTCTGTTATGATGAAATTAATAATAATTAATAAAAATTTACACATTACAGGCACTATGCTTAGGAATTTGTATATTTAATTTAGTCACCCTAATGCTTTAAGGCAGGTGATATTATTGTCCTTATCTTGTAGATCAAGAAAGAGACTGGGGCGCCTGAGTGGCTCAATTGGCTAAGCATCCAACTCTTGATTTCGGCTCAGATCAAGATTTCAGGGTTGTGAGATTGAGCCCCGTGGAGCCTGTTAAGATTCTCTCTCTCCCTCTTCCTCTGCCCCTACCTCCCTCCTCCCTCTAAAAAAAAGAAAAGAAAAGAAGAAAGAAAAAAGTAGCATCACTGCTACTGATGCAGATCCTGTCTGATCCTGGGCTATCTGATCCCAGCCCCTGCACTAACTTCATGTCAAAAATTCCAGTCCCCATCTTCGTGTGGATTCTCAGGATCATCTTGGCATGATATGCTCTTCTCTGAAGCCACTTCCTCATCTACATAATGAAGCAATTCTATTACAGATTTTTTCAAATTGTGGGTTGAGACCCATTAGTGGATCTCTAATTGGATTTTTTACCACAGGTCATGATTTTTAAGTTTGCAAAACAGTGGATTCTACTATTTGACATTATTTGATTTCTGCAGATGAAGGGCTATAGGGAAATATTCACCAATGAACATGACATTATCTGATATTGCTTTAAAATAATCCAGGAGTGAAAGGAATGGGTGGGTGTATTAATGAAATAAGATTGGTCAAGAGTTGATGACTGTTTAAGCTGGTTGATGGGTACACTAGACTTCATTAAATGATTTTCTTTACTTTTGTATATTTTAAAATTCCTCATAATAAAAGGTTTTTAAAAAGAGAGAGAAAACTAATGTAGAAAGAGAAAGAAAAACTTGTTTTCTCATAACTTTACTAGCCAGATTGAATGCCAAACTTCTGGGTTCCCAATTTTTGTTCTGTACCCCTGTATTAAGATACAGGCCTTTTCTATTTTCTAAGCTTTGCTCCAATCAGAAATCATGGATCTTCTTGTATTCAAAATAAAAAGACATTTACAGTAAAGATTAGGGGAGAGGGGAGACCCCCTGTAAGAGAAGCAAACCATATCTCTAAGAGGAGAAGGTTACCCTTAGACGCACCAGTGAACCAAAGTTTAGTGAAACTCTCCCCTCTGAGTCATGAGTTAACACGCTTTTCTCTTCCTGTTTCCTAGGAGTGCACATAACACCACACTCAAGATTATCTTGCCTTCTGCCAAATTCCGTAATTTGCAGATGACTAATTTCAGTATGACAAATGTGGGATTATAAGGGGTGGAGGGAAATATTATACGGAAAACTCTGTAGTCCTTCCCTATAGCCCTTCATCTGCAGAAATCCGATAATGTCAACAGCAACATGAAAGGAATAAAGTGAGGTCTCTTGGGAGATCTCACTGGATTGGAATGATTTCATTCAGAGCTAGAGTCTGCTCCTGGTTCTCCTTTATCTAGCATCCCCAAGTAATGAAGGTTTAGGTAAAATCTGCTGGGTGGAAACAAACCATCAACGTTGGAGGAAGTACTGCAAAAAAGAAATATCCGCCTGCCTTTGCTGACCTGTTTTGCACCCTATTTCTCTGCAGCAGGGAAGAAAGACCCACCCTAAGTCTTTTGGGTAGTTACTGAGATGCTAACAATCTGAAGAAACAGCTGAGGTTTAGCCACCCAGATAGATTATATGAATGTTACCTTCCAGGAGGCTTGGTACTTTCTACATTTCTGGACCAGATTTCTCTACCATTCATCCTGCTCAAGTAGTGCAAAACTGTGCAAATCTAATTTTTAATTTTTTAATTATCTGGGTTGTTCTATTGTTTGGAACTCCTGAGCCAACGCACTGCTAAAATAGGAGATTGCCTTGTAGCTTAATCAGTTTTGGTGTCAGGGGCTCCTGAGAGTGATATTGAACACATTTATTTTTTTTCTTAGTTATCTCATTGGAAAAAAAAAAGTGGACAATACTTATTTCAGAGAGTTGCTTCAGACACTAACATGATTAATATATGTAAAAATGTCAAGTTTTAGTTTAAGTCACTAAATACGTATTACTTCCCTTTTGAATTACCTGCATGAAAGCCATTAAGTATTGCTAAAATAAGAAAGAAGGGCTAGATTCTAGTGCACTGGACTTTGAACTCAGGCAGAAATGTGAACTTCCCCAACTGTCACACAGATTAAGAATCTGGATTCTACTCCAAGTCCAAAACACATTCTACCCCAAGCATCAAAATAGACTTTGCCTCCAAAACAGTTCAGTATTTATTAAATAACACCTTTCCCTCTTAATTAACATGTCTTCCCTCCTGTAATTTGCCTATCTTCCTTTCTCTGCTCCTCCAGCCCTCAAATTACACTCCAAACAATTAACAACAACACAAAGACAATATGCAAGATATGTTTTTCGTTGTTGTTCACACTTTTGACATACCGCAAACATACAAAAACCCAGAACATTGTGGAATTAATACAGCTTGGAAATTGAGTAAAAGGTTAGTGACTCAGGGTTAGTAAGGATGCCAGCAACAAAAGTCAGCAAAGGATAAGGAATGAATCCCAAGAATGACAAACCTTCCATTACTCCAAAGATTGGAAATCAGGGATCTGTCTGAGCAATGTGGCCAATTGTTTCACTGCTGGTTTTAATTGTTTGAAATGGAAAGAGTATCATATTTGCAGGCCACAGCAATCTGTTCCTTCAGAATTCCTCTGAATAAAAAGCTTAGCAACAGAATCACTGGAGTTTTAGCACTAATTCTCCATGATTTAATACTAAACCATGGAACAAATGAAACTACCCTGGCCTTTGTCCCACGTTTACAGATGCCTCATTCTTGTTCTTCTATTCCATTTCTTCTCCTTATAACACAGCCTTTGTCCCTCTCCCTTCTTTTTTTTCTTCCTAAATCACAAATCTGCAGGTGCCAACTGTGTGACCACCCTATGACCTGCAACAGCCTCCAAGAAGCAAATACTCATGATAAAATGACAATCTCAATCACAATTTTGTCCAAACGTATTTGTGCATAGTTTACCCTGGTGAGCACCAAACTCTCAGCCTATTTGTGCCACTGAAAAGAGTGAACCTGTAGTTCCCCAAAACAATCATAGTTCCTCATGCTTCACTCTTGGTTGGGCTGAGGTCATGAGAGAAGTGGAAACAAAATCTTCCAGCACCACCCTCTCTCTGGCTAGAAGTACACCCCACCACAGAGATGGCAGCCAAGTCTTCATTCCCTCAGTTTCTCCTCCAAGAAGGTCCTCACTCACCCAACTCTTCCATTGTCACACACCCAAGATGCTCTGGTCCCACAGGTTGTGAGGAACTGCTTTGGCATGTGCTGAAGAAGAGGACAGCAAAGGAACTGAATGAGACAGCGTGAAGCAGCCTCTATAACCCTTTTTGGTTCCTGTATTTGCTTAGCACTTCCTCTCCTTTGATTTGGTGAGTTTCTTTTTTTTTTTTCTTTCTTTCTTTCTTTCATTTCGATGTTAGTTTTGAAAATGGGACATAGAAAGGTGGGTAGTGGGATTTGAATTCTGTTAGTGCATTGGTGAGGGTGAGAAAGATTTAAAATTAACTTTAAAAAATTGGGCACCTACTATGCATCAGGATTCATCTTGAATTCATGGGATGGCAGATTTGCACTTGTGTTTTTTCCCAGTGTGGGTATCCCACCGTGACTGTGCATCAGAAAACCTGCTGCATGTGTGTGAATGTGTGTGCGTGTGTGTGTGTGTGTAAAGCTGATGACCATGGAAGTGGTTGCCTTCATAAAATTTCCATCAGAGTTAACCAGCACCCAATTCATTTTGCTGTCTCTATTTACTTAATGATCCAGAAATTATGCTTACATCCTTTCCTGAATAGACTGTAAATCCATTAAAAGGACAGAGTAGCAGTCACATTTGGATTTTCAGGGCTATTGGTTATTTCTGTGGTCCAAAACACAAACAACTATAGTGATCATAAAGAATGAAACTGGAAGACAAGACACAAGGTGTTAAGCTGCAGATGCCTCAGGGAAGCACAATTCCTGCCTAGTTATGTTGCCTAATAGCAGTTTCTCTGAAAAGGGACTCTGAGATTAACTTTCACCTTTTCTACCACTGTGATTTTATTCACCTTGAATTAAATAAAACATTTACAAAAGGCCTACTATGAGAAAGCAGTATGTAAAAAACTGTAATTATGGCTCGGTGAAATATAATATTATCTCCATTTTTACCAGTGGTGAAATAGATTCAAGGAATAGTAACTCGCTAAAGATAACAGAATTATAGGTAGTTTTATTATTTACTATAATCCAGATTTAGTTTCAATCCCTGTGATCTTTCCTCTGCAATACGTGGTCTTTTTTTTAGGGTGATGTAAAGGAATCATTCATTCTCCCATTCCATTGTGATGCTAAGATTTTTTTTCTTTAATAAAAAGGAGATTCCCACTCTGCATTACTTTGAGCAGCCATTGGATGTCAGTGCTGTTCCAAAAGTCTGTTCCAAAAATCCAAATGGGTTTGAAAAAATTCCCATCCACACTAATCCATAGTTTTTACAACTGAAATGCCACTAGTCCTATGAAAGTGCAGAACATTTGATAGCGAATATAAAACATTTGCCTAATCTATGGTGGTAACTGAGCCAAAACACCGAGAGGAAAAATGCACTTCAGCACTTGGCTTGCAAATATTAGACTCTTTCTGTAGGTTAAATGAATGATTAATGTGAAATTTAGAACTGGATCCCTAGATCTTGTTTCCATCCGCTTTCTGGGGGGGAGGGGAGGGTGGGGGTACACGGGGGGGTAACCCCAGAAGCTTTATTTTCCAGGGGTAAGAACCCTTCTTTCAAATTGCTCCTTGATTATAGTGCATGAAAGGAAGAAAGGAAGGAATGCTGGAGGCCCACTGCTGTCACTGAATGCAACTTGGAAAACAAATGGAAACTCCCATTTGACGCATTAGGATAATTTAGTTGCACGCGCTAGTGGGCAGAAAAGTAGTTTCTGACAAAGCTGCTATTCTGACTGTGCTTCCTGTGCAGCAGAAACATTCAAAACCACAGAAGCCAAGTGGCTTCGAGGCAGGGAGCACGCAGGAGGCCTTCGGTTTCTGAGTAGGTCACAGAATCACAAACAACCCTTCCCCTTTCCCTGCAGCCCAGGGACCACAGCCAAGCAGCCGACGCCAGCTCCTTGGCACCGAACACATCTAGTAGAACAGCAACTCTACAATTCTTTCCAGACTTTTATTAAGAACCAAATGAGTGCTGAGAATTGTGCTACACCCCGAGCACCCAACGGATCCAGATTCAGTCCCTGACCTCCGGGAGCTCACAGATTAGGGAGTCACACACAAGATGACGAGGCGAATACCGCAGGCATGAACGCTAAGAGGTGCGAAGTAACCAAACTAAGGGCTACTAACGTGGCCACCCAAGTAATGTTTCGCCAACACCAACTTAAAAATCAGGAAAACCATCCCAAAAGCTATCCCAACCAGCTAGCTCGCCATTTCTGCTCAGATCTGTGCGGACGTCGCGGCCTAACCCGGAAATACTACCTCCCTGAAGGAGCAAACGCCGACCGCAGAAAGAGTAAACTACCTTTCCCATCGTGCATCAGTCAAAAACCTCCCAGCATCCTCTCCGCCTCTGGTCTCTCATCTTTAAAGCTCAGGATATTTAGGACTTCATCTCCCAAGATGCCTTTTGACAAGTTAGCCCTGCGCATGCGCCAAGAGGAGGGCCCTCCTTGCCCTCACGACCCCGCCTCTGTTCTACCGCCGCCATTTTTTCAGAGACTTTCATCCGGCAGTCGACGGGGTTTTTTTTCTTAAAGGAGAAGCGACAACTCAAAAAATTTCCCCCTTCTTCCCGCAAGACCTGGCGGCGCTGGGTACAGAAAGGCCACAGACAGGAAAGTGGGATCTGGGTGGAGGCAGAAGAACGCCAAGGCTACTTCCGCGGCTTAAGGAAGAAGGATAGAAAGAGCCCTGTGGCATTAGCGGCTCCTTAGGGAGGCAGGTGCGCGCGCAGCCAGTCCAGGGTGCGCGCGAGGCGGGGAAAAAGGTGCGTTTTCCTCCCACCAATCTCCTCGCGGGACCTGCTCCTCCCACTACTCCTAGCGCGCGTTGAGCTCGTGGCGCGGGGGGTGGGGGTGGAGGAAGGTCACTTTAGGATTGTCGCGAGACGCAGCCGTTTAACGGTGAGAACGGGTGCGCGGGGAAGGAAACCTCGCGCGCTCCCTTAGAGCCGTTTCCTGATTGGTCGAAGGAAGGGGTGGGGGAGGGAACCCGGGACGTCGCTGCGTGAGAGACCACGAGGGGCAGGGCGAAGAAGCCGTCCCTCCTCTCTGATTGGTCCGCTGAACGTCTGTGGCGGGTGCGCGCGCGCCGCCAGCGGTAGCGGGCCTTGAGTGGCAGGGGGCGGGGGGGGCGCCCTCGGAGCCGGGCAGAGGGGAGGGGGGGGAAAGAGGAGCGCAGAGTGAGATTGAGCCGGACGCTCCGGGAGGCGAAGGGGGCGGGGGGAGCAGCGCCGCGGCAGCCGCCGCCTCCGCCTCCGCCGCCTGGGACGAGGGGGTGGGGGACGGACGAGCCCCGATGCCGGGGGAGACGGAAGAGCCGAGACCCCCGGAGCAGCAGGACCAGGAAGGGGGAGAGGCGGCGGCGGCCAAGGCGGCTCCAGAGGAGCCCCAACAACAGCCCCCTGAGGCGGCGGCGGCGGCGCCTGCGGGGACCACTAGCAGCCGCGTGCTGAGGGGAGGTCGGGACCGGGGCCGGGCCGCTGCGGCCGCCGCCGCCGCCGCTGTGTCTCGCCGGAGGAAGGCCGAGTATCCCCGCCGGCGGAGGAGCAGCCCCAGCGCCAGGCCTCCCGACGCCCCAGGGCAGCAGTCCCAGGCCGCGAAGCCCCCGTCTCCAGCTCAGGGCAAGAAGAGTCCGCGACTCCTGTGAGTAACGCAGTCTTTCAGGCGGTGGGAAAGACCCCCCTCTGTCCGCACGCAACCCTCTCGGCTCCCGTAGCGCCCACTCCACGTGACATCCTGCCTGCTCTGCCCCCTGCTGGCTCGCACGCCAGATGTCACACCGCTCCCCTGCTCCTGTCTTATCGCTGCTCTTTGGCCCTCCCCCCGTGTCCTCTGTCTGTGGGGCCACTTCCCCTCTCCCTGAAGTCGTTCTTTGTGGGATACACCTCTTTTGCTCCTTAGTGACCCTATTCTTTCCTGCCGCCGCAGGCTTCGCCCGCACTCTGGCATCTGCACTCCCTTTGTCAGCCTGTCCCTTCCCCTCGTACGGCGGCTCTCCAGTATTACATCACGTCCCCATTAGGAAATCAACAGCACAATCTTAGCCTTCAAAAGTGTGTGTCTCCCTCCCACCCCCCATTAATTAGCTCAAGGGCTAGTTGTACTAGTAGCTTCATACAGCTTTTTCCACTCTGCTAAATTTTCACATCACGTTTCACCTGTTTTAGAAATCTGGTACTTAGTGTAAAACGTAGCTCTGCCAATTTTAAGTGTAGTCTTTCATACAACAGAATTAGCTGGGTATTTTTTAGTGTTTTTTTGTTTTTTTAGTTTTTGCTTGTCTGCTTGTGCTTCTTATGTTTTAATGTAGGAACTTCGTTCTTAAAACTTAGGCTACTCTGAAAGGAATTACTTTATTACCTAGAGATAATGGAGGGACTAGGAACATACATATTTTATTTTATTTATTTTTTAAAAGATTTTATTTGTATTTATTCATGAGAGACAGAGAGAGAGAGAGATAGAAGCAGAGGGAGAAGCAGGCTCCCAAGGAGCAGGGAGCCCGATGGGGGACTTGATCCCAGAACCCTGGGATCACGACCTGAGCTGAAGGCAGACGCTCAACCATCTGAGCCACCCAGGCGCCCAGGAACATACATATTTTAAATTGTTAGTATTAAAGTGTTCCTCTGTTGAAAATACTGAAGTGCATGTGTTTGTAAATTGTAGAAATTAATCATATTAGTCATTGAATTCGTTACTGAAAACATCGTTTGTGTCTTTTGACTTTCAAGTGAAAAAAATTGATAAAAGGAGAAATTGGAGTGGGGGAATCACAGTTTTAAGGGTCCCCTCCCATAGAGATTATGGCAAGATTTGGCTTATACCAAATTTAAAACTTGAAACACACCTGTTCCAAAGTTAAGAATTAAGTCTGTGACTTGCTTGCCTTAGAAGAAGAGAAAATTCAAAGGTATCATATTGTGGTATTAGATGTGCTTCAAATTTTTGAATGTTATTGAAGTTAATACAATTTAGAGAATTTATTGTGTGACTACAGTTCTGTGGACAACAAAGATCTGTACTTACAAATCACTTGACTGCAATTAGGATTCTCATTGCTATAGATGAATTTCACAGTCACAAAAATTTTAAGATTCTATATTTCATCTTACCAATTTGAAAAGAGCTGTCATTACCCTTACTTGGATTAAATTCCTTGAACAAATTTGTTAAACTGTATATGCCTTAGTTTCATTATCTGTAGGAAATAATGTTAATCCTTATGAGATGAATTAGTGAGAATTAAATATAGCATGTGAAGCACTTAACAAAGCTTGGCACGTAGTACATACAATATTTGTTAAAAATTATTGTTTTGAGTGGTAATGGAATGATAGAGGTATAAGTGGTGTGTAGCGATTTTCATGTAAACGCTGCAGAATTGGAATTTTTTTCATTTATTTCTATTGCCATACCTGGGAAGGTTAATAATATATTTTTTAAATGCCCTTCCATCCTCATCTACCCAGTTGAGAGTTAAATATACCTAGGTTTCCTTGCCACATTTCCCTCCCACTGTTCTACCAGTTTTACTTACAGAAATGATATTTTAAGATAATGACACCTAGTGTGGTAGTTTTTTCCACCTCATGTTTTGTTTTGTTTTTTTTTCTAACTCTTGGCAAAAAAGTACTTTGAGTTTTTATTTCTACAATATAAATGTTAAAACAGTTGAACTTGGATGAAGATGACTTAATTAAATCCCTTCAATTTTTTCTCCATGTTATTCCCTGTGGGGAGAGAAATATAGTCTTAATTCTTAGCGTCCCTCCCTCTCACGTCCAATATCATGAAAGATAGTAGTGTTCTTTTGCCTTCTCTTAGCCTCAGAACTGTCTCTTTATTATGTATTTTAAGTTACGCAGTTTTGATCAGATTGTTAAAATAAATTTTAAGTGATAATTTATTTGTTACACATTTTTAATTTACTGCATGCCCTGGAAATCATGATTGAGCAGTAACTGGGCCTGGTGCTGTGCTGTGATAGGTTTTATAAAGGTAAATGAGACATGGCCCTAGTCTTCAAGGACCTTGCAGTATGAGGGGAAGATGCATTGATTAGTGGAGGTTTGTCAAATGTACACATGGTTTACAGATTTTCAGAGTGATAAAGTAAACTTTAATTAAGTAAGAAATTTAATACTTTAAGACATTTCATGAGATTTTGAGTATCAGTTTACTAAATCCTGGTCAAGTACCTTGTGACCTGTATATTCCTAACAACATGTGACCCTTTTAAAAAAGGAAGTAAGAGATTTATCTCTATCTTAATTACTTGTTCTATTCAGGTTCTTTTACCATATCCCACCATTTCCTCCTATAAATTCTCAGTAATGGCTGTTTCACCTACATTTGTTTCTCTTGATTGAAGAGACAGCAAAATGTACAGTAGTTTAAAAGGTCAGTAAATACAGAGATTTGGATTGATTGAAACCTCTTTCTGCTAGAAGGCAAAGTAGTGCAGTGGAAAAAGCATTGGACTGTATAGTCAGAAAGTTTCTGGTCTCAGCTTTCTACTAAATGAGTGACCCCAGGCAAGTCACTTAAGTTCTTTAAATCTGTGTCTTTATCTATAACTGGTAATTTATGATTTGTTACAAGCATAAATGTGTATAAATGATAAGTTACAGTTTTTATACACATTTATGTTTATAACATTTTCATTTGCATTGAAACATTGAAAAGTTAATGAAAAGAGCAGGAAATCCTTGTGAAAGGAAATAATTTTTTAGTGCAATTTGCTCAAGAGAAAGGCATAAAGTTAAATGCTAAAATAATTTTAAAATAAAACTCAAAGCCAGTTACAAGGAAAGAAACCAAATTTGAAGAAAGGTTGTATCTATCAGTACTACTTAAGAATTAGGCTCATCATTTACTGTATTTTGGTCCATAAACTCGAGTTCAGATTCTTATATTTTAAATGCAGATGTTTATATACATGTCTAATTTTAAGTATATACAGTACCAATTTTTTTCTGATTCATAAACACCCAGGCTTTCTACTAATACGGAAACTAATTGTTAAACTAAGACTAGTTTAAATTGCAAAAAGGCTTCTTTTCATTCTACCATGATAATAAGTCCTCTGCATTTCATATCCAGTGCATTTCATATAAAACTTCAATAAATACTTTTTTAAACTTCTCATTTAGCTGTTGAGTAACCCTATTGGCTAAAACTGCATATTCTTAGAGATACTCCATAAGTTCAGGTGGGTTCCTGAATATTGCTCTATTTTCTGGGTTATGGAACTCCATTTTTGCTTTATTTTTTTCTTAAGGTAAAATAGTAATAAAGCTTCAGATGACACTTTCTTGCTATATCATTTCGTAAGGAAAAAGTGAATGTCATGGATAGTGAGAATGAAAAGGCAGTAATATTCTGAATTGAAACAACTTTTGTGGCTCTTTGGAGAAAGTTACAGTTGTATAAGTTTAAAATTCTGACTTTTCCTCCCAGGGCAATCAGTATGGTAAAGAAACATCTTCCCATTCCAAAAGGTTTTTGGAGGGAAGTTTATTGTGTAATGTTTCAAAATTTAGGTATTACATCTGTATTTCTCTTTAGAGTTGTCTTGTGTTAATTATTAATTGGGACATTGATGATATAATTTAAAATAAAGTAATACCCAGCTTTTTAAAAAGTGGGATGAGAAAATGACAGCTATTTTTTCTAAAGAGAACAGAATTTGTATTACATTGCTTCTCTGTTTGGATATTCTTTGTGACATAACAGTCCTCATTTACATCAGGTTTACTTTCAAAAAAACAAAAAACAAAAACAAAAAAACTTTGTATTAACTGAGAGATACTATGTGACATCTTTGTAGTAAAGATCCAAGACCTGTGGACTTTTGATTTTGAGTAATGGCTCCAGCATAGAGGTTCATTATACTGTGCTTAACAGTTAGTAATGAAAGAAATGTTACCAAATTAAAAACATGACAACATTTTTTAACAGTTTATAACTGTTATAACATTAGACTCTTCACTGTTGCTAATTTGTAAAGTACAAGTTATATTAATTTCTGAGGTCCAGTCTATTGCTTTTATAGAAATAGATTTTGACTTGGGTATAACAAATAATAATTTGGGGTTTTCTGTTAGGTTCATTAAATTTTTATTATGAAAATTGTCAAGTATACACAAAGTAGAAAAAATAGTACAGTGAAATGCCCAATATTTACCACTAGATTAAGCAGTTATCAAGATTTTGCCATGCTTGTTATCTTTATCTCCCTTTGCCTCTTTTTATTTTTTTAATTTATTTTTATTTATTTTTTTTTGCTGAAGTATTTTAGAGGAAATCTCAAACATTATTTCACCCCTAGTTACTGCATTTAGTAAAACAAGGACATTTTCTTATATAACCACTTAATATAACAAAATTAGTAATACTTTCTTTGTATTAATTTTTTTTAGTTAAAAACTTTTTGAATGATACTCTAGTTGTATGCTGTCAGCTTTGATAGCTGCATGGTATCTACTTAAATTTACATTAATTAAAATTAAAAATTCACTTCCTCAATTACAAACAAGCTATTTCAAGCACTCAGTAGCAACACATGACTATCGTATTAGACAGTGCAGATACAGAATATTTTCATCACTGCGGAAAGTTTATTGACCACACTACTCTAGATGCTTTCTGCATCACTCTGAAGATGAACCTGAAAGAGATAAATATCTGTGTTTTAGGAAAGTATGCAAGATTGTTTATTTAATATTTGGTTCTCATTTCTTTCAGATGTGTAGACAAAGTGACAACTGACAAAGGTAAGACTTCGTCATTCTTAATCTGTCATGTATATTAACACTGATAACTTTACGATCTGATAGGAAATAGAATAAGCTTCAGCCTGATAATTCAAATCATTCCCATTTAAAAGTGACCTTCATTTAGTAAAAAAAAAAATAATTGGCATAGTTAGAACCTGTTTGGCTAATAGGTTTGGGCTGGTGAAACATTTTGGCATTATTTGGAAACCTAATGATGGGAAATCAGATTATTTAATGTTAATTTATTACAATTTGTTTTTAGCTATTTTTAGTAAAGTAACAAGGAGAGGAATGATACACAACACAGAGTAAAGTGTAGACAGAATCTTAGTACTGGTAGAGACTCAAATTATAAATGCAGTTTGGAGGATGTGGGAAGAAACGTGTTCTGAGATTTCAGCCTGGTGAATAATTAAATGGGATCATTTGGTTGTTTCTCTTTAAAGAGTTTTACCAAAACAAATATATGTATTAAAGGTGGTCTTCTGCTTATCAGGATTACGAAGGAAAGCTAATGTCTACCTTTTTCTTTTTTAAACATTTCTTTAAAAAGATTTCATTCTGGTTTTGCAGATTGGGTTATTAAAATTGCCCCTAATATGCTGGACCAGTTGCTCATTCATTATTCATATAAAATATATTTGTATAAAAAATGCTATATTTTCTAGTTATTGGCTATATTTCTTGATGCTAAATTCTAATATGCAGCACCCTTTTTAAAACTTGAATAGATATACTCCTAAGCATATTTCATTTATTATGTCTGATAGAAATCTACTTAATAACTGAGGGTTGGCCAATTTATTATATATGTGCATGTGTTTATATATAAAAAATTAAGATTTTTCCCTTCACAAAGAATGGTTTGAGAATATGTAAAATATATATAACATGTATAAGGCAAGTTTAAAACCTGGATTTTACGCTACTTAGAAGAATGATACTGTGGTTAGGAACCAGTAACTTGAATTGGTGGCTGCTTTGTAAATAATTAGCTATCAGTGATCAGTTTTCTTTTTTCTCTGAATTTTAGAATCTGAGGCTAGTATTTCATAGTTTACCAGGCAGAAGTATTTGTTCTAGGCAAATTTTTTGTGTAGAAAACTTTGCATGACTAATTTGTCTAGCAGATTTTCGGTTTTGTTGCTGCTGTTGCTTGAAAAATAGGGTATGTCTGCCAAGGATGGAAGGTCTTGTGCTCCTTATTCAGAGATCATTTTGAAATGTTATGATGTGGTGAAAATGTAGAGACAGGTGGCAGTCAAGTACCAGAGCAGTTTTTATTAAAACAAAAGACAAAACCCCCAATCTGCCTTTATAAGCTAAGAGTACTTAACGTGTCTAAAGAGTATGTATAAAGAAATTACTTGGGTTGCCTTGAGGAGAACTTGGAGGATGTGGTGGAAATTTTGAATCCCTGTTGGAGATAAATTAATTGCTCTTTGTGTAGATGTCTTAAACCAGAAAAGTTGGCTTGTTAGGTAGTTGTGCAGCTGTGGCGAGATCACAACTGCATTCTGGGTAACCTCGGTTTCAAAATCAATCCTACTCTAATTCACTCGTTAAATGCTCTGGATCTAGAGTTAGAGCTCAGGGTTTGAATTCAAGTTCTGCCTTTTATTGCAAATTCAGTACCTGGAATCCAGTGAAGACGCAGTAAAAGGTAGCTGTTTGTAAAATTTTGAAAAAATACTCTCCAACTCCCATCTTCATCTCTTGGTTTACCTATTATGGTAGCTGTTCAACTTTGAGTAGTAAATAGGTACATAAGAACTGATTCTTACATACATTTAAACAGCTAGATCAGGAAATAAATGGAGGCTGTGATGGTCACTTTTCCCTGTGCTCTGTAATATTTAGAATTCACCTCAATTCTTTCCCTTTTTCTTGTCACTTCTCAGAAAGTTGTTCTGTTACTCAGGAGTAGTTTTCATGTTCAGTCTGCTGAATTTTAACTGAAGTAACTTGTACTTGTTTCAGAGGTTGAGGTTTTTTTTAAAAACTTGGAATAGGTTTTGATATTTTCTAGAGGTACTACTAGCTCTCTGTTTCATGAATATTGACAAGATGTTTTCAGGATTGTTTTGTTTTCAGGATTGTTATTTACTGCAAATGACTTGAAATATACTTTCCTTCAGTCAAAAATAAGAACCTTTGACATGTTTGAACAAATAATTTTGCACACACACAAAAAGCAACTTGCTGTTGTTTTAAAATTATTAAGTTGCAAAGTGCCATGTTCATTCTTCACACTGAAGTAATAGTGGTCCCTGTTCTTGCTATATTTATTTAATCCTGATGGGTATATATAAAAACAAGTGGAAATTTGCAAAGATAGTGTTTATTAATTCATTAAACAAGTAATTGTTGAGCACCCCACTATGTGTCCAGCACTATTCTAGATACTAGATTGTGCTGATAATCAAATCAGTGCAATGAAACACTTGATTAAAATAATGTGATATAGTGTTTGATGAAGTTAAGATGTCAAGGGAAGACCTCTTTTGAGAAGGTGACATTTGAGCTGAGACCTGAATATATGCAAATAGATAGCCAGATGAAGAGCATCCCACACAGAAGCAGCAAAAAGGGGAAAACTTGAAACATGAAAGCTTAGTTTACCACTGCCAGAGGATTATCATCATCACAGTGGGGCTTCCAAGAGTGTTAGCAGAAATTTTGAGAGGTGGAGCCTGGCAGGGTCCTTTTCTTTTTTTTTTTTAAAGATTTTATTTAGGGCGCCTGGGTGGCTCAGTTGGTTGAGCAACTGCCTTCGGCTCAGGTCATGATCCTGGAGTCCCGGGATCGAGTCCCACATCGGGCTCCCTGCTCAGCAGGGAGTCTGCTTCTCCCTCTGACCCTCTTCCCTCTCGTGCTCTCTATCTCTCATTCTCTCTCTCTCAAATAAATAAAATCTTAAAAAAAAAAAGATTTTATTTATTCATTTGACAGAGACACAGCGAGAGAGGGAACACAAGGAGGGGGAGTGGGAAAGGGAGAAGCAGGCTTCCCGCAGAGCAGGGAACCCGATGCGGGGCTCGATCCCAGGACCCTGGGATCATGACCTGAGTCGAAGGCAGCCGCTTAACAACTGAGCCACCCAGGCGCCCCCAGCAGGGTCCTTTTTAACTTGGCTTTATGTTTTCGTTCTGTTCTCTGTTTTCAACTAATACAGTAATGAAGTATAGCAATTATGTCTCAGTGTAGTTTATTAGTAATTCTAGTGTTACCTTATCCACTAATTTTCTTTCACTTTCAAACCTCCAACTAAAATTGTGCAAGATAAAGCCTTATTAAAAAAGGGAGACTATAATATTTAATGTTTACTAAAGTGAGTTTCACGTGTTTCATGGAATAATGAGTATTAGAGTCAGTGTAGGTGCTGGAGTCATCAGTGTGCTGGTTTATTTGTTGCAGGACCTCTCAAGAGATTTTGATTGTGAGTAATAAGCAATATAAATACTGGGACGCCTGGGTGGCTCAGTCAGTTAAGTGTTTACCTTCGGCTCAGGTCATGATCCCAGAGTCCTGGGATCAAGTCTCACATTGGCTCCTTGCTCAGCGGGAAGCCTGCTTCTCTCTCTGCCTCTGCCTGCCGCTCCCCCTGCTTGGGCACGCTTGCTCTCTATCTCTGACAAATAAATAAAATCTTAAAAAAAAAAAAAAGGCAATATAAGTACCAAAATATGCAGTAACTACCTAACTTAATTGATTATAAGATAGCCCCCCCCCTTTTAATGGATAGTTCATAAAATTAGAATTTGTGGAAAACATATTTTGAAGCACTGGGTGCTTGAAAATTTGTATTAAACTCTCAGTCTCACCTTTTATTCAAAATCATTTTACTGTTTTTAGTTACTCTTGTTGTTATGGATGGGGTATATTCTATAATTTGTTTAACCCTTACCTGATTAAAGGACACTTGATAATTCTCAGGTTTTTTCCTAGGATTACAGGTGGTCTTTTTGAAAGCCTTTTAAGATACACGATACATACGCAAAAGAACACTTAGCATAAACGTACAGCTGTGAATGTTGACGAGGCAAGCTCAGTTAGGTAATCATCACCCAGCCCAAGAAACAGAACCAGATCAGCTACCCCCAACTGTAACCACCGCTCTGACTTTGAACGGCACAGATCTGTTTTGCCATTTTGTGGGTTCTACATAAATGGAATAATAGAGTATGTACTCTTGGGTAGGACTTCTTTGCTCATCATTATGTGAGGTTTCTCTAGGTTGTGTTTGTTATTGTTCATTTTCGTTGTTGCATAGTATTCCATTGTGAAAGTATGATTTATTCATATTACTGTTGATTGATATTTGGGTAGCTTCTAGTTACTGGCTTTTATAACTAGTGCTGTGATGCATATATTATTAATATGATTTTATTGAGACATAACTTACGTTATAAAATACACCCATTTCAAGTCTATAATTCTATCCATATAGGTTTTCCTTCTCTGGGCATTTTATAAATGCACTTGTCCATAGAATATGTGTTTTTTGTTTTTGTACCTGGCTTCTTTCACTTTGCATAATTTTGAGATTAATTCATGTTGTGGCACATATCAATATTTTCATTCCTTTGTGTGGTATTTCTTTGTATGGAAATACTCCATTTGATTTATCCATTTGTCAGTTAATCCACTTTTTAGCTATCATGAATAATGATAGTGTGAATATTCATGGGCAAGCTTTTGTGTGGATGGATGTTTTTATTTCTTTTGGGTATATATGGGTAGATATCTACGAGTGAAATTTCTAGATTGTATATGGTGAATGTATGTTAAAGAGACTGGCGAAGAGTTTTCCATAGTGGCTGTGACATTTATGTTCCCTGGTGATAGATGAGGATTTCTGTTTCTCCACAACTTCACCAGTGTTTGTTATTGTCATTGTCATTGCACTATTCTGTCAAGCCAGCTACTTTAGGATGGTGGGGTACATGGTAAGACCAGTGAATTCCATGAGTCTGGGTCCGTTGCTGCATTTCATT